TCACTGTTCACTCTGCGCTGTCGAGTATATCATAGTACTAGAGAGACCAGTTATGTTGTGGAGTGTCCCTTGAATATGGCTGACGAGGTGCTCAGTGGATACTGTTCATGAGTCCTGGAACTGGCACTGTTAACTTTCATCATTTGATTAAGCTAGTATCTACCTAATTTCCCTACTGTAAACTTACTGTTTTACCTTAAAAAATCTGTTTTTAGACTAGTTAATTAATTTTTTCATATTTTTATTTTTAATTAACATGATAATTGTCCATATTAATGGAGTACAGACTGTTTTATTTCTTGTGATTCAAGAGTGTGTTTTCTAGCCCACCCTGCAATCAGAAACAAAAAGTTAGCTTTTTAAAAAAATCTACTCAATATGATATAAAAAAAGCATTTTCATATAGTATTTCTTAAGTATTACTTTGCTAGCTATGGGGGTACATAACCAGTTTCTCAGGGTTAGACATTTAGTTATTTCCAGTTTTCTTTACTGTTATTTACAAAAGAAAATGCCACCATCAATAAATATTTTATGTAAAACTTTTTAAATGTGTGTAGAGTTGTTTTATAGGTTGAATTCTCAATGTGGCATTATTAGAACAACTCTAAGGCACTATTTTTAAGGCTGTGTAAGAATATTTTCTTTGCCGAAGTACTTTTCCAAAGATTTGTACCATTCTACATTTCTACCAATAAAAAATGAGTGTACTTTGTTAAAAAAGGTATCTTGTGGGAGTATGCTTTGAGACATGTAAGTGTCTCAGTATCTACTGGTTTTAGCATCTGCTCATGGTGCTGAACAGAATCAGTTGTTACTGTGATGACTGACAAATGGTGATTTCCTGATCTCATCATTCCTTCTATAGTTATTGGTTGGTTTTCTGCTGAAAGGAAAAGCTATCCCTGCTCCTTGTCTGTGTATGTCAGTGGAGAATCATGGCTTCTTATTTTACTCAGTAGGCTCTAATCCTCACTATCATTTATTGCCATGCTCAAGTTGTCCTAGATCTGGCCAGTGGGAGGTTTTTCAAATTGACTGTTATGTACTTTTTTTTTTTTTTTTTTTTTTTTTTGGACAGGCAGAGTGGACAGTGAGAGAGAGAGACAGAGAGAAAGGTCTTCCTTTTGCCGTTGGTTCACCCTCCAATGGCCGCCGCGGCCAGCGCACTGAGGCCGGTGCACCACGCTGATCCGATGGCAGGAGCCAGGTGCTTATCCTGGTCTCCCATGGGGTGCAGGGCCCAAGCACCTGGGCCATCCTCCACTGCACTCCCTGGCTACAGCAGAGAGCTGGCCTGGAAGAGGGGCAACCGGAACAGAATCCGGCGCCCCGGCCGGGACTAGAACCTGGTGTGCCGATGCCGCAAGGCAGAGGATTAGCCTATTGAGCTACAGTGCCGGCCCTGTTATGTACTTTTATATCTCTATTGTTCTTTGAGGATGTCCTTACCTTTATTTATGTATGTATGTATGTATGTATGTATTTGAAAGTCAGAGTTACACAGAGAGAAGAAGACACACACACAGATCTTCCATTGCTGGTTCATTCCCCAGATGGTTACAACAGCCAGGGCTGAGAGCCTAGAGCTTCTTCCATGTCTCCCATGTGGGTGCAGGGGCCATCTTCCACTGCTTTCCCTGGCACATTAGCAGGCAGCTGGATCAGAAGTGGAGCAGCTGAGACTCAAACCAGCGCCCATGTGGGATGCTGGAGCTACAGGTGGAGGCTCAACCTAGTATACCACAAGACAGCGCCAGCCCCAGCTTACTTTATATGTGTATATATATATATTATATATGTGTGTGTATTTATTGTAAAGATTTATTTATTTATTTGAGAGGCAAAGTTAGACAGGGAGAGGCAGAGAGAGAGGTCTTCCACCTGCTGGCCTCAACAGCTGAAGCTGAACCCATCTGAAGCCAGGAGCCAGGAGCTTCTTCCAGGTCTCCCATGAAGGTTCAGGATGGCCCCTTGGGCCATATTCTACTGCTTTCCCTGGCCATCAGCAGGGAGCTGAATTGTCAGTAGAGTAGCTGGGACTTGAACTAGCACCCCATGGGATGCTGGCACGGCAGGCAGAGGCTTAACCTATTATGCCACAGTGCTGGCCCCCACCTTACTTTTAATATGACAAGAAACTCCAAGTTCATCTTGTTCTTTCCCTGCCCCATCCATGGAATCAACCATTTTTCTAAGGAGATTGACTTTACAGACCCAAGTCAGCACTCAGTGGGTCCCTTGCTACTGGATTACCATTGCTTCCAGTGCTTCCATTACTTTTAGATGATAGAAGTGGGGAATGAAAAAATATATATAGTATAAATAAAATAGAAATTATATATATATAATGTGTCGTATGTAGTATGTGTCCATGTGTGCACAGGCACATACGCATATACATGCACACTTAAGCACTTTTCTGTTCCTTTATATATACCTATTAACATATATTACAAGTCATGAGGACACACCAGTATCTCCAGTTTCAACACCTCAGATTGCAACACAGCATTTCATCTTTTACTCTTTCCTTTTTTCGTGTAAAATCTAACTGCCATTTTCCATACAAAATTCTGCAAATCTCCTCCATCCTAGAATGTACAAAGAGTTGCAGAATTGCTGATGCATGCCTCTGCAAAATAAGAATTTGTGTAGATTTTTTATTTTTAACCTGAGATCATATTTTAATATGGTTGAAAAACTGCGAACTAAAGTGACTTGGGTTAGTTCTTTTTCCCCTTCCTCTTCTGTGAGTTTTCTTATTCATTTTAAATGAAAGTACTGTTATTTGCTTCTGTTTTTACATTCCAAATGTTGGGGTTTTCCTGTCCTTGTGGATTTTATTTGATTTCTTTTGTGTGTATGAAACATTAGCATGCTTCCAAAAAGTGGAATCTGTACAAAAAAGATATATTCAGAGAAATTTTACTTCCCTTCCCACTCAGTTCTTACTTTTGGGTTTGATTTTATTTATTCTTTAAGGATTTATTTTTACATTTATTTGAAAGACAGAGTGACAAAGAGGAGAGACAGAGAGAGAGAGATCGTCCATTCGCTGGTTCACTCTCTCAAATGACTGTATCAGCCAGGCCTGGGTCAGGATGAAACCAGGAGCCAGGAATTCTGTCCAGGTCTCCCTTGGCAGTGGCCCAAGCACTTGGGGCCACCTTCCCTTGCTTTCCCAGGCTTGTTAACAGGGAGCTGGATCTGAAATGGAGCAGCCACAACTTGAACCAGCGCTCACATGGGATGCCGGTGTTGGAAGCAGCGGCTTAACCTGCTGTGCCACAATGCAGCCCTAACACTTAGGCTTTAATACCAATCTCATTAGCCTCCAGATTTTCCTTCCTGTTTTCTCCTTCTGTTCAAATAAGTACATAAATATACACTATCTTATTTCTCTTTTCTTTTTTTAAAAAGATTTATTTTATTTATTTGAAAGACAGTTACAGAGAGAGGTAGAGACAGAGAGAGAGGTCTTCCATCTGCTGGTTCACTCCCCAAGATGGCCGCAATGGCCGGAGCTGCACCAGTCTGAAGCCAGGAGCCAGGAGTTTCTTCCGGGTCTCCCACATGGGTGCAGGGGCCCAAGCACATGGGCATCTTCTACTGCTTTCCCAGGCCACAGCAGAGAGCTGGATCGGAAGAGGAGCAGCCAGGACTAGAACCGACGCCCATATGGGATGCCGGCGCTTCAGGCCAGGGCGTTAACCCACTGTGCCACAGCACCGGCCCCTTATTTCTACTTTCTTACACGAAAGTTTAATACTACAGATACTCCTCGTACTTTACTAATCACAGTTTTGAACCTGAATCAGACATTATTGTTTTTTTTCCTCCTAAGATTATTCTACCCTCATTTGTTTCCTTTTAGACATTGGATCAGCAACAGTTCTTCACAGAGGATGAGCTAAAAGAATATGAAAAAATTATCTCCTTACAAGAGAATGAACTTAAGAAGAAAGCAGATGAGCTTCAGAAACAGAAAGAAGAGCTGCAGCGGCAGCATGACCAGCTTGAGGCGCAGAAGCAGGAATATCACCAGGTAAAAGGGTTACGGCACCAACACAGATCGTACATGCTTTGTTGAAAGCCTGTGTTTTGTAATGTAATATTCCAAGGTACTACCAGCTATAGTATTTTATTTAATGAATTTATTTGAGAGGCAGAGAGACAGAGAGATTGAGAGAGTGAGAGCTCCCATCTGCTGGTTCACTTGCAATGGCCAAGGTTGGGCTGTAAAGAAGCCAGAAAGTGGGAGTTCAGTCCAGGTCTCAGTGTGTGGCAGCGACCCAACTACATGAGCCGTCACCTGCTGCCTCTTATGGTGCACGTTTGCAGGAAGCTGGAACTGGAGCAGAGCTATGACTCCAACCCAGGCACTCTGCTACGGGATGGAAGCCTCCCAAGTAGTGTCATAATCTCTAGACCAAATGCCGCTGCTGAGGTATATTGTCTTACATTTTAATATTCTAAAAAAATGTTTTGTTGAATATTAATCTAAATTTTAGAATTTGACTATCTTCATTTTAGAAAACAATTTCAGTTAGCTTGTCACACTTCATCAAAGGTCATCTTTGTTTTTGGACAGGCAGAGTGGATAGAGAGAGAGAAAGGTCTTCCTTTTTGCCATTGGTTCACCCTCTAATGACCGCCGTGGCCAGCGCACTGCGGCCAGCACATCGCGTTGATCCGAAGGCAGGAGCCAGATGCTTCTCCTGGTCTCCCATGCGGGTGCAGGGCCCAAGCACTTGGGCCATCCTCCACTGCACTCCCAGGCCACAGCAGAGAGCTGGCCTGGAAGAGGGGCAACCGGGACAGAATCCGGTGCCCCGACCAGGACTAGAACCCGGTAGGCTGGCACCGCAAGGCGGAGGATTAGCCTAGTGAGCCGTGGCGCCGGCCCATCAAAGGTCATTTTATGATAGAAAATCAAATAAAACTTAATTTTTAAAAAGATCTATTTATTTATTTGAAAGGCAGAGTTACAGAGAGGCAGAGGCACAGAGAGTGAAGTCTTCCATCCACTGGTTCATTCCCCAAGTGGTGGCAACTGCAGGAGCTGTGTGGATCCGAAGCCAGGAGCCTGGAGCTTCTTCTGGGTCTTCCACATGAGTGCGGGGGCCCAAGGATTTGGGCCATCTTCTACTGCCTTCCAAGGCCATAACAGAGAGCTGGATTGGAAGTGGAGCAGCCAGGTCTCAAACCAGCACCCATATGGGATGCAGGCACTGCAGGCGGCAGCTTTACCCATTACACCACAGCGCCAGTCCCACAAAACTTAATTTTAAGATTTTCTTTTTTCCATCTCACCAGGTTGTACAGCAGATGGAACAAAAAAAACTACAACAGGGAACTCCTCCATCAGGGCCAAATGGAGAATTGAAGTTTGAGCCACGTATGTAATTTTGCTTTTTTGTTTATTAGTTTGAGAAAACATACCATTGTAAATTGAAATATTTATTACAAATATAATATTTCAAATCATTAAGATTTGTGTTATTTTATATATACTGTTTAAATAGAAAAATTGCAGTATAGATAAATGAAAGGCCTCTAAAGTTTTACTACCAACATTTTCAAATGCTATATAATGTGATAACCATATTTATGGTGAAATGACTTATTTCAACATTATCCATAATTATTTACAATCAGTTATATCAATCATATCAGAGAAGATCTTTTTAAGTTGATTATTATAAGACTAGCTAAGTGTAATTTTAAAAGTAAACACTAGATATATCTGTAAATAAAAGAAAATTCAGAATAAAGGAAGATACCTTTAAAATGAGAGTATATTTTTTTTGAACAGACATTTAAAGTCCGAAGGCCATCAGAACTTGGAAGAAAACTGTTAACTCCACATCTATTTCATCTTTTTACCTCCTGTCATTTTTCTCTGCTCAATAAATATTTTAAAGCATATTTGGAATAAAGGAAAGTACCTTTAAAATGAGATGCATTTTATTGGTCACAGATAGTTAAGGTTTGAATTTTACTGGATCAAGAAGAAAACGAACTCACATTTATACCTTCCTTCTTTTTTCTTTGTTCTCCTTTAGTGATTTGATTAAGTGGCCTTGGGCCATGATTTAGGGAAACCAGCAGTAAGTGAGAAAGCTCTGCCTATTGCCTTTAAAATAAATTGTGCTCACTCATAAAGATAAGTATTATTTCACAGGTGCTTATCATCTCTCTCAGTAATGTCTCTTTGGTAGTAACAGTTCTGAAGAGGCTGTAGTATCTTTTCCCTAGTGTTTCCTGGAAACTGCCCCCCACTTTTAACAACCTTCTGTGCCAGTCATTCTTCCACCAAAACGCTTTTGCTCCGCTTCAGGCCATCTCTCGTTTACATGTTTGCTCCAGTCCTTTGAGGCAACTTCCCAGAGGCAGCAGCTGCACTTGAATTTCATCCCCTCGGTGAGAATTGAGCTCCCGGGGAGGCAGAGAAATTCATGTGGCAGTGTGATTCCTCTAAACTAAGAAAGAGGGAAGTGGGGACATTTGTCAGGCAACCTTCCGTTTTTGCCCCTGTCAGCATGCTGGCTGCCTGCCTGTTTCTGGCACTCACTTGTCCCATCCCCAAGAGGAACCACCGAAAATGCGGTCCAGTTTCACACATGAGCTCAAGGATCATGGTATCTGGGTGTTGCCCTGTCCATCAGGTTACGTGTGACTCCTTGTGTTCTGGCCCCCTACAAACTAAAAGGCAACTGTTCTGTCCCAAGAGCAGCACATACATAGGGCGTAAATGTAGGAAAAGGATAGGGAAGAATTCAAAAATAGTGGTTACTGATCCATAGCGATCAGAAAGCGCTGCTTACAAAGAAACACTCATCTCTTTGCTCTAGTACTTTTTGTCCCTGCCTCGTTTTTCTGAGAGCAACTGCCTTAGGCATTGTCCTCCCGGGCCCTTGGCTTTGCCTTCTAGGAGTTTTTTCTTGTCCATGAATTTTCAAGGGACATATCTGGCTAGGTGTTGTAAAGTAGGCCCTTCTTGGAGGCTGGACAGTCTTAGCAGTTCACTTCCTGTTATTGTGGGCTCGGAGCTCACAATAGTTAACAGCTACAGGCTCTTCCAGACCGAGTTTGAATCTTTATTTGTTTTGACCAAATGCATTCCTAAAATTTAGTAAGCTTCTGGTCTGTTTTCTTTAATCACTTTCATGAATAACCACAGCCATGGTTTTTACATAATTTGAAGATACCATTTGAAACAAAACACCCCATCATTTCCTTTCTAGCCTCTGTGCCACTCCCTGCCCTTGTGCTGGCCTGAGAACTTTCAGACTCGAGGCTGGGGTTGAATGGTGGCGGGCTGGGCCTGGTCTTTGGCCCTGGGACGGCTCCTATTACTAGCAGAAAATTCTTACAGGAAGGTTCTTGAAAAATGTTGAGGAGGGTTTGGTGGCTTCCTCAGCCTTTCCTTAAAACTGTTTCAGCTTGCAGTACAGCAGTCTTGACTTTTTCAGTTCTTCAAGGCTCACAATTTGGGATTTTGTCAGTTTTTATTGTAGGAAGAGAGCAAGGCCCTCAGCAAAGTTACATTGCCTTCATCTCTGCAGACTTGACATTAGCCTGAGTCACATTTCTCTTGGAGGACTTTGCTGAAAGGGGCAAGAAGCAGCCTCCATATGCTAGTGCTACCACCACCTTCTCTGATAGCTCTCCCTCGGTCTCATGGCCCAGACACCTGTTTCCTCAGTAAGCAAACCTCCCCATTCAAGTCTTTGCACCACTTGCTGCACCTTTCTTCCAGCTGGGGTCAGGATTCTTGGTTGGAGGTAATGGAATCTTCTTAAAGAAGATTCTTCTGTTTCCTTAAACAGAAAGACATTGGTCAAGGAATATAGATAGCTCACAGGATGTTTAGAAGGGTGGGGAAAAAAATAGACATAGGCTGAGCTTCTAGGAACTCAGTTGCAAGAGTGGGCTGATCAAGAAGCTGCCTGCCACATCAGGAAGCCACCTGCTGGATTAGGAAGCCTTGAACAGTTGCCGGCTCTGGAGCTGCAGCGTCTCTGCCGTGCTTTGTACTGATGAAGACGGTGTCTCGTGTCCTGCCTCTTCCCTGATGGAACTCAGCTCTGAGTGAAAGTCTCCAGTGAGTGCACCATTTGATTGGACCAAGCACATCTGGAACCCCAGCTGCAATGGAGGTTGGGAAGTATCCTACAGTGTTTAACTTTACTACCTCTGTGTTACAGGAATACCTATTAAAGGCTATGGAGGTAAACCAATCCACCAGAGTATCTCCTTGTTTGACATTAAGTTCTGTCTAACATTGATAATTTTTAAAATCTTAATCCTTATATTACAATTTTTTTAAAAAAAAAGATTTATTTATTTGAAAGACAGAATTACAGAAAGGCAGAGAGAGAGAGAGAGGGAGGGAGAGAGAAGTCTTCCATCTGCTGGTTCACTCCTCAAATGGTTGCAATGGCTGGAGTTGTGCTGATCTGAAGCCAGGAGCCAGGAGCTTCCTTTGTGTCTCCCATGTGGGTGCGGGGCCCCATGGACTTGGGCCATCTTCTACTGCTTTCCCAGGCCACAGCAGAACGCTGGATTGGAGCTGGAGCAGCCGGGACTCAAACCGACACCCATATGGGATGCTACCACTGCAGGTGGCAGCTTTACCCACTATGCCACAGCGCTGGCCCCATATTAAAAATTTTAAAATTATCATTGTATGTCTATCCAAACATACATCATATTTTTGTTAAATCAAGAATTTCAAAATTAAATATAGCACTCTAGAAAAATTCTTATACAAAGTTTTAAACACACACACACTCAAAAACCAATCAACATAGTGCTAATGCTATGTCTTTTTAGAGATGGAGAATTCTTATCTCTATTAGATGAAGTTCAGGCAATGTAGAAAAATGGTTTGCAGTATCATTTTGTTGACTTAATATCCATGACCAAAAACTAATAGCACAGGCATTCTCTTGGGAAAACTGTTTTAGTTAGTGAACTGGGGAGAAACTGGAAAGTTACCAGAGAACTTAGAGCAATTTTTTTAAGTGTTTTTTGGTGTGAGTAAATAATGCATGGATATTAATGTATACATACCTCAGAGTTTCCAGCAAATTATTATAATTTATATTATTCAAAAAAGAATCATTAAAACTAAAAGTATTTATAGACTTAAGGAATTCCAGTTCTTATGAATACTGGTCATTCAGGAGTGAATATTATTTCTGAGAAAGTTGCGAATAGTATTCTTTCCAGCTCCTTTTGAAAGCATTGGTGCTGTGTTTGATTTATACCTTTTTTTTTTTTTTTTTTTTTTGTATTTCTTTGGCTATTTGTCTTGGGTTTAGCTGATTTAGTGGTATGTAATATAATTTAGTAATTTGGAGTTTTATTTAGCATGTGAATTTTCATGAAACCTGTAAATTTTATAGTATACTTAGGTATATATAATTAAAATTGGAGTTTTAAAACATGATGGGTGTATAGAATATTAAACTCTCTTTAAAGAAAACCATAGCACCGGATTCTGTCCCGGTTGCCCCTCTTCCAGGCCAGCTCTCTGCTATGGCCCGGGTGTGCAGTGGAGGATGGCCCAAGTGCTTGGGCCCTGCACCCACATGGGAGACCAGGAGAAGCACCTGGCTCCTGGCTTCGGATCAGCACGATGTGCCGGCAGTGGCGGCCATTGGAGGGTGAACCAATGGCAAAAGGAAGACCTTTCTCTCTGTTTCTCTCTCTCTCTCACTGTCCACTCTGCCTGTAAAAAAAAAAAAAAAAGAAAAGAAAAAGAAACCCATAACTCAGAAGTGGTGGTAGAAGGCCAGCACTGTGGCTTAGTAGGAAAGCCACCGCCTGCAGTGCCGGCATCCCATATGGGTGCTGATTCAAGTCCCATCTGCTCTTCTTCCGATCCAGTTCTTTGCTATGGCCTGGGAAAACACAGAAGATGGCCCAAGTCCTTGGGCCCCTGCACCCATGTTGGAGACCTGGAAGTAGCTTCTGGCTCCTGGCTTCGGATCAGCACAGCTCTGGCCGTTGAGGTCATCTGGGGAGTGAATCAGCAGATGGAAGACCTTTCTCTCTCTCTCTGCCTCTGCCTCTCTGTAACTCTGCCCTTCAAGTCAATAATAAATAATAAATCTTTAAAAAAATTAAATAATAATAAATAAATACAGAAACCAGAGCTGGGAGAATAAAAAAGTGGTGGTAGAAAAATCCTCTGAGACATGGCTATATGCTTCTTTTTTTTTTTAATATTATTTATTTATTTATTTGAAAGTCAGAGTTACACAGAGAGAGGAGAGGCAGAGAGAGAGAGAGAGAGGTCTTCCATCCGATGGTTCACTCCCCAATTGGCCGCAACCGCCGGAGTTGCGCCGATCCAAAGCCAGGAGCCAGGAGCTTCTTCCGGGTCTCCCACGCGGGTGCAGGGGCCCAAGGACTTGGGCCATCTTGTACTGCTTTCCCAGGCCATAGCAGAGAGCTGGATTGGCTGTGGAGCAGCCGGGTCTCGAACCAGTGCCTATATGGGATGCCGGCGCTTCAGGCCAGAGCGTTAACCTGCGGCGCCACAGTGCCAGCCGGTTATATGCTTCTTAAAATATATTTATTTATTTTAGTTGAAACTCAGAGATACAGGGAGAGGGAGAGACAGAGAGATCTTCCATTGGCTGGTTCATTCCCCAGATGGCCACAGGAGCCATGGCTGGGCCCAGCCAAAGCCAGGAGCCAGGAGTTTCATCAGGGTCTGCCACGTGGATGTGGGGCCCACACACTTGGGCCATTCTCTGCTGCTTTCAGAGCCATTAGCAGAAGTAGAGCAGCCAGACATGAACTGGAGCCCATGTGGGATCTCTGGTTTTGCAGATGGCAGCTTTACCTACTCTGCCACAATGCCAGCCCTCGATAATTTTTTAACTAAGATTTATTTACAATGGCATTTTTTTCCATGATTATTGAACAGGATTGTAATAGCATAAGCCTAAATGTGAATGTTTTTCACATAAAGAAAGACAAAGAAAATTTTGTTTTGTGATAATGTGATATTTAAGATAGCCTAGCTTATAATAGAGGAAGCAAGAAATCTATTTTCCTTGGGATGAAATTTTGACAAGCTCAGCTCTGGTTAGTGCATAAATTTTCATCTTTGTTTTACAGCTATGTGATACAACCAAGAAGAAATTGGAAAGGAGCCAGAATTAGACAATGGGGTTCATCATTTCTGTGCAAGATTTATGTCCTTTGGAGAACCTGCTAGGGAAGCCACCTCCACCCTTAATCACTGGTGCCTCAACTGCAGACGTTTAAAATTCACTTGTTTTTGTTGAATTTGGGAGACTAAAACATATTCAGTAAAATGCAAAGTTTACTGTTTTTCCTTGTGGGTGATGGCAAGACAGTAATGACAATCCTGTTTTGACATGTAAGATTTGTAGAAAAGCAGATCTTTTCTGTGCTTTTTAAAAAATAATGCAACATTGGCAACAGCTTGCCAATGCTTCCCTCCTGCCTGTTATATTGCCTTTTTAAATGAATAGTTAGTTATGAGGATGTAACCCTTTCTTAGAGAACCCAAGAACTGAGCCAGACCCCGTGGCCACAGCAAGGGGTGAAGTCACTGTATTGAGAAATCTGTATTTACCATTTCCAGCTCTGCCAACTTGATGGTTGATACAAAAGCAAAGCAAAAAAATTGAGAGTCTTTCATTTTACAAATTGAAGTGTTTTCAAATATTGCCTATAGAATTATGTGAAAAAAAACACACCTGCGTCTCATGCATACAGATGTTTAGTTTTCACTGTGGCGCTTTCAGGATTCGTTTTAGGTGATGTTGGTCATGCGCTCGGTGACTGCCGTGTGCCAGCTTGCTCGTCAGCCAGTCTTTGACAGTGTGTTTCTCCCTTCCTGGTTGCCCTCAAAGCTTTGTCTGCCTGTGTAAACAAGTTGTGTGTGTGTGTGTGTGTGTGTGTTTTAACAAAATTTGTTTACAGTCTGTTGCAAACAGTATTTGACTTTTGCTGTGCAAATGTGCTTATTTTATTTTAATTTGTGATTATACATATGTGTATCACAAAAGCAAAGCACTAAAATTGGGGCAGGCAGTTGGCACAGCAGCATAAGTACCTGCTTGGGACACTTGTTTATCTCATTGGAGTCCTGACTGCTTTACTTCTGATCCAGCCTTCTGCTGATGCACAGAAGACAACGGCACAAGTACTTGCGTCCTTGACACCCACATGGGACATCACGGTGGAGTTCTTCTGAGTTGACCTGGACCAGCCCTGGCTGTTGTGGAATAAATTAGTGGGTGGAAGATCCTTCTGTTTTGCTCTTTCTCTGCCTTTAAAAAAAAAAAAAGTATGAAAATATTTTTGTACTAGTCCTATAATTTTGCAACTCCATAGAATTTTAAAATGAGTAATAATTTAATTTTCACATGATTTCAAAAGTTATGACTTGTCTGAGTGATTTAAAAGTGAGAGAAAAAAAATAAAATTCCGTCTTACTCTTTGCCTTCTCTATTTTTTGTTCAATTTTGGTCCATTTTAAGTGTTCCCTTTTAGTGACATCGGAGTATATACCATTTAATTAAGTCCCTGCCTTCACTGTCAATCCCCAGTGTATGACGTGTAACACTGAGTAGTGCCATGCCTTGTTTTACACCATGATGCTTTACCTTTTTTGCTATCTGTGACCTTTCAGTTGGTAAAGTGACTTGGGTTTGTTTTACTTTTGTATTTTATCCTTTCTGTACTAGGTAATGCTACTTTCTAAATATTTCTTTTTTTTCCCCAGAAAACTTTTATTTAAGCAATACAAACTTTATGCTTTTTATAAATACAACTTTAAGAACATTGTGATTCTTTCCACCATGCCTGCCTTCTCACTCACACTCACACCCCTCTTCCTCTTCCCTCTCCTATTCCCATTTTTATTTTTTATTAAGATCTATTTGCAATTAACTTTATACACATATTAGTTCAACAAATTGTATGAAAAAAACTGTTCCTCAACAGTCGAGACAAGGGCTGTTCAAAGTCATTGCAGCTTGAAGCGTTAATTTCACTTCTACAGATTACCTTTTAGGTGCTCTGTTAGTTATCACAGTCAGGGAGAACATATGGTATTTGTCCTTTTGGGACTGGCTTATTTTGCTAATTATGTTTTCCAGATTCATCTGTTTTGTTGTAAACAACAGGATTTTTTTTTACTGCTGTGTAGTATTCCATAGTGTACATATCCCATAATTTCTTTATCCAGTCTTCAGTTGAAAGGCATTTGGGTTGATTCCAAATCTTAGCTATTGTGAATTGAGCTGCAGTAAACATGGGGGTGCAGATAACTCTTTCATTTGCTGATTTCATTTCCCTTGGTAAATGCCCAGGAGTGGGATGGCTGGGTCACATGGTAGGTCTATATTCAGATTTCTGAGGTATCGCCATACTGTCTTCCATAGTGGCGGTACCAGTTTACATTCCCACCAACAGTGGATTAGGGTACTTTTCTCCACATCCTTGCCAGCATTTGTTGTTTGTTGAATTCTGTATGAAAGCCATTCTAACTGGGGTGAGGTGAAACCTCATTGTGGTTTTAATTTGTATTTCCCCAATGGCTAGTGATCCTGGACATTTTTTCATGTATCTGTTGGCTATTTGGATTTTCTCTTTTGAAAAATGTTTGTTTAAGTCCTTTGCCCATTTTTTAACTGGATTGTTTGTTTTGTTGTTGAGTTTCTTGATCTCTTTATATATTATTATTAATCCTTTATCAGTTGTATAGTTTGCAAATAATTTCTCCCATTTTGTTGGTTGTCTCCCTTCACTTTCCTGAGTGGTTTTTTTTTTTCAGTGCAGAAACTTTCCAATTTGTTGTAATCCCATTTGTCAATTTTGGCTTTGATTGTGTCTTTGGGGTATTTTCCAAGAACTCTTTGGCTATGCCAATGTCTTGCAGGGTTTCCCCAATGTTTTCTAATAATTTGATGGTGCCAGGTCATTGATTTAGATCTTTAATCCATGTTGAATGGATTTTTGTGTAAGGTATAAGGTAGAGGTCTTGCTTTGTGTGGAGGTCATTTCCCCAGCACCATTTACTGAAGAGACAATCCCTTGCTCCAGGGATTGAATTAACTTCCTTATCAAATATAAGTTGGTAGTAGATGCGTGAGTTGATTTCTGGCATTTCTGTTCTGTTCCATTTCTACAAGTCTTTTTTTTTTTTTTTTTTTTTTTTTTGTGCAAATCCCAGGCTGCTTTGATTATAGTTGCCCTTAGTATGTCTTGAAATCTGATATTGTGATGCCTCAGCTTTGTTTTTGTTGTATGAGATTTCTTTAGCTGTTTGGGTCTCCTGTGTTTCTATTTGAATTTCAGCATCATTTTTTCTATATCTGAGAAGATGTCCTTAGTATTTTGATTGGGATTGCATTGAATCTATAAGTTGCTTTTGGAAGTATGGACATTTTGATGATAAATTGATTCTTCCAATCTGTGAACATGGAAGACTTTTTTCATTTTTTTGTGTGTCTTGTTCTATTTCTTTCTTTAATGTTTTGTAATTCTCATCATAGAGACCTTTGACATCCTTGGTTAAATTTCCAAAGAAGTTGATTTTTTTTATAGCTACTGTGAATGGGATTGATCTCAGTGGGAATACTTATAACTTTTCCCCCTTCAGTAGGACACTGGCCATGGCTTGTCATATATTGCTTTAATTATGTTGAGAAATGTCCTTCTATTCCAAATTTGCTCAAGGTTTTCATCATGAAGGGATGTTGTATTTTGTCAAATGCTTTCTCTGCATCTATTAAAATAATCATATGGTTTTTGTTCTTCAGTTTGTTTATGTGACGTATCACACTGATTTGCAAATGTTGAACCATTCCCTGCATACCAGGAATAAATCCCACTTGGTCTGGGTAGATGATCTTTCTGATGTATTGTTGGATTCAGTTGGCCAAAATTTGGTTGAGCATTTTTGTGTCTATGTTCATCAGGAAAATTGGTCTGTATTTCTCTTTCTCTATTATATTTTTTTCAGGTTTAGGAATTAAGGTGATGCCACCTTCAAAGAAAGAATTTGGGAGGATTCCCTCCCTTTCAGTTGTTTTGAATAACTTGAGAAGAATTGGAGTTAGTTCTTCTTTAAATGTCTGGTGGAATTCAGCAGTGAAGTCATCTGGTCCTTTGCTTTTCTTTGTTGGGATTCAATTTCTGTCTTGGTTATGGGTCTGTTTAGGTTTTCTATGTCTTCCTGTCAATTTAGGTAGATTGTATGTGTCAAGGCACCTGTCCATTTCTTCTAGGCTTCCCATTTTGCTGGTGTACAGTTCTTTAGTAATTTCTGATGATTCTTTTTATTTCTGTGTTGTCTGTTGTTACATTTCCTTTTTTCATCTCTAATTTTATTATTTGGGTCTTTTCTCTCTATTTATTGGTTAGTTGGGCCAATCATTTGTCAATTTTGTTTATTTTTTCAAAAACCAGTTCTTTGTTTAACTGATCTTTTTGTATTTTTTTGGTTTCAAATTTGTTGATTTCTTCTCCAATTTTAATTATTTATTTTCTCCAAGAAATTCTTCATTTCAGGTATTTCATTCTAGCTTCTATTTAATATCTCAATTTCATGAGAAAACTTTTTTCATTTAGTTTGTGAATTCACTTCTGATTGCTTCTTTGTAGTCTGGTGGTTAATTTTCTGAATTCCATTTCTGGCAAATCTCAATCTCTTCTTACCTTTCTACTACTGAAGTGCTGTAGTGTTCCTTTGAGGGACTCATGGTGTCTTCCTTATTTTTTTTTTTTTAAGATTTATTTATTTATTTTAAAGGCAGAGTTACATAGATGCAAAGGGAGAGGGAGAGGGAAACGGAGAGGGAGTAGAGAGAGGAGAGGAGAGGGAGGTGTCTTAAATCTACTGGTTCACTCCCCAAATGTCCACAGTGGCCAGAGCTGTGCCGATCTGAAGCCAGGAACCAGGAGCTTCTTCCAGGTCTCCCGCGTGGGTGCAGGGCCCTAGGACTTGGGCCACCTTCTACTGCTTTCCCAGGCCATAGAGAAATGGTGGCGGCATTACCTGCTACATCCTTTGCCTTCTGCATCTGTGTGGTTTTTGTTGTTGTTGTTGTTGTTGTTGGTTTCTCTCTCTCTCTCTCTCTCTCTTTCTTTGTTTTTGTCTAGTTGCTTTTCTATGGGAACTTTCCCATTTGGCAGGGTTTCCTGTGTTACGAGTTGCTATGGATCTGTGTGTGGTGAGCAGGCTTTAGAGCCCCTCCTGCTGGTGCTGGGTTAGATTTTCAATGGTGGTGGAGCGGTTAGGTACTTTGAATACACAGGGCTTCCCCTTGAATGCTCAGCCTGCATGGTGGGGGAAGAAATTCTTCTGGATTATTGTAGCCCTTGTTCTTGGGTGGGGAGTGAGGTGAGGTGACCCCAGCAGTTGATGGGCACATGCACAGGAGGCAATGGCTGCAGGCCCCTACTTTTGTAAACAAATCATGGGGCAAGATGTCTTCTCATCAGGCTGCAAGTGCATGTCGGGGGAGGGGGTAGGGAGATGGGGGTAGAAGACCTCTCCACCTGTTCCTCAATATTTGTCCTCACCTTCTGTTTCCTGTGTGGAACTTCAACAGCAGTTCACCAGGCTCTCCCTCTCACTGCTATTCAAAGCTCTGCAGGACCACAAATTCCTGTCTCACCTGGTCCTCCAAGAGCTGGCGCCGACCTCCCAGGTCTGAGCCCTTCACACTTGGCTCTCTCGGCGTGGACCTGGGCAACCTCTGCTGTCCTCCTGGGTTTTCTGCTGTGAGTTTCCCACAGCCCTATCTCAGATGGGTGTTTTCTCTCCTCAATTATTAATTTTGCCCAGCATGATTCGGATCATCCTGCCACTATACCACCATCTTGCCCTCCCACTGTTATTTCAAGTCTATTTTAGCACACATATTTAATCATCGGGAAATCTTGGAGGAGTGTAGGATGTTGTAGCACCATTTTCAGTCTTAATGCCTTAATAAAAGCCCAGCTGCATGGGATTCACTAGGCCTTTCAGATAAATTCATACATTCCGTCACTATCCCAAACCATTCCTCTTTTCTCTGTGAGAGTCACTGTATTTCTCAATACAATCAGGTGACTATATTAAAAGAGTTATTTTCTAAAAGATAAAATAGGTTGGGGCCAGTGCTGTGGCGCAGTAGGTTCATCTTCCACGTGTGGCACCTGCATCCCACATGGGTGCCGGTTCTAGTCCCAGCTGCTCCACTTCCCATCCAGCTCTCTGCTGTGGCCTGGGAAAGCACTGGAAGATGGACCAAGTGCTTGGGTCTCTCACCTGCATGGGAGAGCCAGGAAGCCCCTGACTTCTGGCTTCAACTTGGCCCAGCTCCAGCAATTTCAGCCACTGGGGAGTGAACCAGCAGATGGACGATGTCTCTCTGTCTCTCCCTCTGTCTATAACTCTACCTATCAAATAAACAAACTCTTATAAAAAAAAAGCTGGGATTTTGCTTTAAACCATGTGAGGCCAGTGAATACCCAGAGCCATGGTTTCCTTCTTCTAAGCAGGTTCGGGCGGCCTTGGGCCCCTGCACCTGCGGGGCACACCTGGATCCTGGCTCCTGGCTTCATATCAGCTCAGCTCTGGTTTTTGTGGTCATTTGGGGAGTGAACCAGTGGAATGGAAGACTTCTCTCTCTCTGTTTCTACCTCTCTCTGTAATTCTGTCTTTCAAATAAATAAAATGAATCTAAAAAAAAAAAAAAAAGAATAAAGAAATCACCTGGGCCTTATGCCGGCTTAATAAAAGACTGCTTCGTGGTAAGAGGCCTTGGTGTGTTGTCTCGGTGCAGGCATCCTGCTACATGCGTACCAAGTTATGTGGCCTCTAACTGAAGGAACAGCGTTTTGGGTGGGATATGTGTGTGTGTGTATTTATATGCTTGTGGCTAGAATAGGTCTGTATAGAAGACCATCAGTGTCTTCTGGAAACAAAATTGCACCTGCAATTAAGCCATGAAAAAACATTTCCATCACTGCTTTTCCTTTAAATGAAGGAAGCTGGGGCCAGCGTTGTGTCACAGCGAGTTAAAGCCCTGGCCTGAAGGGTCGGCATCTCATGTGGGTGCCTGTTCTAGTCCCGGCTGCTCATCTACCAATCCAGCTGTGCACTATGGCCTGGGGAAGCAGTAGAAGAGGGCCCAACCCTGCACCCACGTGGGAGACCCAGAAGAAGCTCCTGGCTCCTGGCTTCGGGTGGGCTCAGCTCTGGCTGTTGTGGCCATCTGGGGAGTGAACCAGCAGATGGAAGACCTCTCTCTGTGTCTCTACCTCTCTCTAACTCTTTCAAATAAAAATTAAATAAGTCTTTAAAATAAATAAATAAATGAAGGAAGCTAGTGTTTTAGGAACCATTTAATGTGAAGGCTACACATCCTAATTTAAAGTCAGGATTTTAAGGACCTTTGATTTTATTATCGCCAAGTTGGAGAAAATTTTAAAATTTTTTCTATTTAAGTGCTGAGTTATAGAAGCAATCTTTATAAGTATGTGACTGAAAATGCTTTGTTAATTTCTAAACAGGAAAAATTTTGATTAGCCTGAAGATATTTTGATTTGTTTTTGGCTTATTTAGAGTTTGACTGTTTTTCAAACTACAAATAACGGGATTTCAATTTGATAGAGAATCAGAAAGACAGATTTTACACTACAGTTGTTATACTTGGATTCCTTTTATGAATGTTCCATCAATTTTTCAGGGTAAGTTTTTGTTAACACTATTATTCCAGTTATTGTGTGCAGGGATTCATCTTTAATTACGGCACACGTAAAACCCGAAAAATATGTAGTATTTGCCTTTTAATTCCGTGGGGGAGAAGACGTTTGACAAAGTGGGAAGAATGCAGGGCGGGTGAGAAGCCCATATGGGAGTCCTGGGTTTGAGCTCTGGCTGAGCCAGCTTCCTGCTGAGAGGGAGCTGGGGGACGGGCACGCTCTGCTGGTCTCTCACCTCCAGACATCTCTCTCTGCCTCTCGGGGTTTAGAGACCTCCAGGAAAGGAGCTGTTTCCAGTGGAGTGAGCGCCGCGGCGTCTACCGCCCCGCTCTGCCACTCGGCCCGCCCCGCCCACCGGCCCGCTCTGCCACTCGGCCCGCCCCGCCCACCGGGCCCTCTGCCTACAGGCCTCCCGCGGCTTCCGGCCCGGCTAGCCGAGCACTCCGGTCCGCACCACCCAGGCCGCCGCGCCCGCCACCTGGCGCACTGGGTTTCCCAGCTCAATTATTGCGAACAGCGCCTCAGGTTCGGAAGTGCCGTCCGGATCACCTCTCCAGGTCGGGGGCTCTCCGTGGGTGATCCCAATTTCGGCGAGCCGCGAACATCCACGGAATCGTAGTCACCTGCTCACCTGGCTCCAGGCGCCGCCGGCTACTCCAGAGGGTTTCCAGAGTTTTTTCTAACTTCGCGGTTGCGCACACGGCTCGCGTCCGCGGCGGGAGAACGGTCTCCTCTCCCGCCCCCGGCTTGGGAAGCAGCTGACAGGGCAGCGCTCTGCTCACCGTCCATCACCCGCGAAGGGGACGGAACGCAGAGCGGCTGAGTGAATGAATGGCGACCGGGCTGGGAGCGCCGCTGCTGCTGGCAGTGTGGGGCACGCTGGGGGCGACAGGTACGGCCAGGGAGCGGAGGGGACGGTGCGGTGTGGGGGGCCCGGGGTCTGGGGTTTGGGTCTGGGGAGAGGGGGTGGGAACGGGACGCCGCCGTCGCCAGCCCGGCTCGGAGCCCTGCTTCGTGAAATACAGACTCGGGTAGCGATTCCACAGGTGACTGTCCTGAAGGCATTCTGTGTGCCGGGTGACAGCCCCGAGACTGTGTCCTAAGAGTGCGCTTTAGGGGTCGCCCGATCGCCCAGACCTTCTGGGTGTGGCGAGTGCGCGCGCGCGTGCGCGCGCCCGCGCGCGCGGGGGGGGTAAGGGGGGGGACGGCGGCGGAGGCTTCCGGAGGCTTCCGGAGGCCAGGGGCTGCCTACCTGCAGGCTTAGAACTCTGGCAGATCTTGAAGGCAGAGGAAAGGCTTTGTGCCATAAGCGTTAGTGCCATATACACACGCGACATGTATGTGTGTAAACGCATATGCTATTTCCCCAAGTTTGAGAAACAAAAGTAAGTTCTAAAGAGAGTAAAAATGGGGGTTAAAGCCACGGCCTGCAGCGCTGGCATCCCACGTGGACGCCGGTTTGAGTCCTGACTACTCCACTTCTCATCCAGCTCCCTGCTAATGTGCCTGCAAAAGCAGCAGAAGATGGCTCATTGCTTGGGCCCCTGCACCCACGTGGGAGACAAGAAGCTCCTGGCTCCTGGCTTCCACCTGGTGCTGCTGGGTCCTTTGCATTCATTTGGGAGAGTTTACCAGGCAATGGAAGACCTCACTCTCTCTCTCTCTCTCTCTCTCTCTCTCTCTCTGCCTTCTCTCTCTCTCTCTCTCTCTCTCTCTCTCTCTCTGCCTTTCAAATAAAAAAATGCAAAAATGTAGACATTAAACAGAATAGTTGATGATGATATCAAAAAGAATAAATAGTATTTCTAAGCATTTGAGTGCACACCCTGAAAATAAAGTTAAGAAAGCAATTTCATGTACAACAGCTTCAAAAAGAATAAAAGCCTGCCGTGGCCCAGTCCTGCGTGGATGTCCTTTGCAGCAGTGGGCGGCGGCTTCTGTCCACCTGCTCTCCTAGCTTGGTGCACGCCTCTGCCTCGTGGAAGATTCGGTGGACATGGACACGAGGCCCCAGAACTCTTTCTGGTTGTGAACTAAAGGCTAACAAAGATTCTCACTTTGAAGTGGACAGTGACAAAATCAGCACCAGTTATCTTTAACGATGTCCAGTTAGGTGCTGGTGCACAGGATGCACGTCACATTGTTGAGGCAGAAGCAATGAATGATGCGGCCAGTCCAGTTACAGGCACCCTGGCAATTTTGGAAATGTACGGCCAATGGTTTCCCTGGGTGGCTTTGAAATAGCACCACCTCTGTCTTCAGGCTGAAGTGTGGTTCAGGGCCTGTGCATGTGAGTGGACCGCCCTTAGTGGCCAGGGAGGAAGACGTGGACTCAAGAAGAGGAGGACGTGAGACTGTTAAGCACACCTGGAAGGCAATCTGCTCCTAGGGGTGCAGCAAGGTACCTCAGGAAAAGCAAAACCTGCCGCTGATGGAGGTGGTGGCAATGGAGATGACGATGAGGAGGAGACTGAAGAAGCAGCTGTATAGGAGATACCCCAGCCAAAAGTCACAAAATCCAGCCAGCATGGGAAGGGCTCAAAACCATGAACCCAACATCAAAAGGTCAGCAATCCCTCAAAAAGCAGGAAACACTCCTAAAGCACCTAAAGGACCTGGTTCTGTAGAAGACATTAAAGCTGACATGCAGGCAAGTGTGGAGAAAGCTGGTTGTCTTCCCTGGGTGGAAGATGAGAAATGCTTCCAGGGACTGACCAGGAGGCCAAGCGAGATCTCTCCGTGGAGGACGCCTCTGAGAAGACAGGTCATGCAGTTGGTGAAAGTTTTCCATGTGACTTCATTTCTGTAACAGTTGGTATTGGACTGCCCTTTTTATAGTGGAGGGTGAGAAGTTTCCCTTTTGTGTTGGATCATGTTGTCCATATTCGATGGCCAAGAATGTGTTGATCAAAATGCCTGTTTAGGGGGTCAGTGCTCTGGGGTAGCAGGTTAAGCGGCTGCATGCAGTGCTGGCATGCCACGTGGGCACGGGTTCCAGTCCCAGCTGCTCTACTTCTGATTCAGCTCCCTGCTAATGCACCCGGGAAAGCAGCAGCAGATGACCCAAGTGCTTTGGCCTCTGCACCCATGTGGGAGACCTGGCTGACTTTCCCATCCCTTCTCCTTTCCTTGGGGAAGTACAATGAATAAATGAAGACTGATTGGTACTGAAAAAAAAAAGCTTACCATTAAAAATAAATTAATAAATAAATTTGTGGAAGAGTCTGTAGAAAAGTGCACTCAGGTGCCAAGGCCACGCAGAAGGCCAGGTGGCTGGATCTACTGTGGAAGGCAATCCCCACCTCCTCCTGCAGAAGGCCCCAAGACAGAACCTGTTCTCCATCCAAGAGGAAGCCTAATGGGAGGAATAGGACACGAGAAGGCAGGATGAGCTGACCACACAAGAAGTGCTTTCCTTGAAAAGTCCATGGCCAAATTTTCCAGTGGTATAAAACCCCCAGATGACTTCCTTTCACAACTTTTTCCTGGGAAAAAGCTCCTCCTGGTTGTTTCACTGGGAACTTTGCCCCTTAGCTTTCAGTCCCTCTGTACTTTTCAATAAAATACTTTGCTAGCAATCAGCTCGTTTGCTCGTTCATCTGCCTCATGCTTTCTCGTGGATAGACCAGTTCCTGGGCTTCATATCAGCAGGAGCCATCTTGATGTATGGGCGGGGGTCGAACCCTCCACTTACCACTGTAACAGGGCCATGGACAAAGGACCCCTGTCCTGAGTCCTTCCCTATCCATGCCCTAAAGGAATTTGCTTGCCATTCATGTGGTTGTGTTTGAGCTGCGGGCCTGTTATTTGCCAAGGGGCTCCTATAACTGAGTTCTCCTGTCGCCACAGGTTTTCTGAAAGTGGAGATGGCAGGGAAGACTCAGGTCGTGTTCCTCAATGAGGACGTCACCATCTACTGTAAGATCCCCGGTTCCCTACTCCTGGACAGCAGCATCATGGGTGTCATCTGGTTTCGGAAGATTGGAGGATCGGAAATGGAAGCCAGGCTGTATGAGTATTATGGCGGTCACCAAGCAGCATTCCGACCTGGAGCCAGCGTGTCTCTTGAGCTGCTGGAGAGGGGAGACGCCTCACTGCGGCTGCCTGGCATCCAGCTCAGGGAAGCCGGAGAGTACCGCTGTGAGGTGGTGGTCACCCCCCAGAAGGCAGAGGGCGTAGTCCAGGTGGAAGTTGTGGGTGAGTGTCCTAGGGCAGCGCCCTGCGGTTCCTTGCCCTGGTGCTGGGGCTCGGGTGGAGCAAGGCTTAGAGCAGGGGCCCGGGGATCAGACGTGGGTTGAGTCCTGGGCTTTGGTAGAATTAGACAACCTTGGGCAAGCTATTAGGCATTCTGAATCTCAGTGCCCTTTTGTCTGAACAAGGGGAGTCGTCTGCCCGGGAGGGCTGTTGGGAAGATGCCATGAAAACACGCAGGGGAAGTGACTGTCAGGGCACAGCTTCATTCCCTGTGCGTGGGCAGAGAAAGGCGGCCATGGTGATCATTACGTTATTCCCATATGGGGTGGGAGTCAGTCTCACTGAAGAGGTACCTCGGAAAGGAGAGGGAAGCTGGGCTGTGGCTCTCAGAAGTGACCCCCATGCCAGCTCTTTGCTTCCACACTGAGTGCATCTGTCATTTAATATCTTTGGGCCTGGATTTCCCAATGCGAAATGGGCCGTGTGATAGGACAACAAGTGCAAACCTCTAATTGAGTGCCTGAAGTGAGGAAGAAAAGTTCCCAGGACAAAAACATCCCCTGAATCCATCCTTGAGCTCCACTATCTTCCATTACAAAAAGGCCTGATGCACCCTGGTGAGAACGTAGAGAAAAGGGAACCCTGACACGCTGTTGGTGGGAGTCAGTTACCATGGCCATTAAGGGGACCAGGGAGGAAGGTGTTCAGAGAAAGGCAACACAGGCCAGGGTTTGGCTTAGCGGTGAAGATGCCCACATCTGGGGCCTGGGTTGTATCACAGTGGGTTTTGCCACTGGCATCCCATATCCAGAGTGCCGGTTCAAGTCTGGCTGCTCCACTTCCAGTTCAGCTCCTGGCTAGTGTGCCCAGGGAGGCAGTGGAAGATGGCCCAAGTGCTGGGGCTCCTGCCATGCATGTGGGAGAACCAGGATGGAGTTCCTGGCTCCTCGCTCTGGCCCAGCTTATCCCGGGCTGTTGCAGTAATCTGGGGAATGAAGCAGTATATGGAAGCTCGTTCTTGCTCTCGCTCTCATTCTCTCTCTCTCTTTCTCTTTCCCCATCCCTCTCCCTCTCCCTCTTTCTCTGTTGTTTTGCTCTTTCATAATACATAAAGAAATCTTTAAATGAAAGGATGTAATGCCATGTGCAGCCAAATGGATGGACTTGGTGGCAATTATGGTAAGTGAAATAAGCCAGACACTCACAGATACTGCATGTTTTCTCTCATGTGTGAAAGTTAGAATATATTTATATATATATTTTGGAAAAAGTGACCTGCTAATATGTGGAGGGACTTAGTGGGTATGTTGCTGGGGCTGCCATAATGAAACACTAGTGATTGGGTGGTTCACACAACAATCTGTGGGTCCCTATTTCCTCGTTTGCTAAGGACCCCAGTCAGATTAGATGAGGACCTACCCAAGTGTTCTCATTTAAGCTGAGTTTTCTCTTTAGTACAGTCTCATTCTGAGATGCTAGAAATTTGGGGGACATGGTAATTGTAGAGGGACACAGTTCAGTACTAATAAGGGAACACTGTCTGTGAGCCCTCCATGACTGTACATAAGACCTTGAATATTGTGACATATTGACTTTGGGAGTGGGGATATATGTTAGTTAGGATTCATTTCCTCTGCACCAGATAGAGAACCAAAAACAATGATTTTTGAAAAAATAATGGACTTTATTTTTTTCTAGGAGAGTTTTACATTTACTAAAAAATTAAGGCACCGGCCGTGGGATATAGTGTGTTAAGCTGATGCCTGCCATTTGCACATCTCATATGAGCACCTGTTCAAGTCCTGGCAGCTCTAGTTCTGATCCAGTTCCCTGATAACATACTTGGAATAGCAGCAGGAGATGGCCTAAGTTCCTGGGGGCCCTGCACCCAAGTGGGAGACCTGGAAGAAGCCCCTGGGTCCATGCTTTGGCGTGGACAGTCCTGGCTTTTGTGGCCTTTGGGGAGTGAATCAGCTGATGGAAGCTCTCCCTCTCTGTCTTTGTAATTCTGCCTTTCGAATTAATAAATCTTAAAAAAACAAAAACCAACCTCTAGAATGCATAGCAATTAGTTTGGTGTCATTTCAAATCTGTAAAGCTAATCCCCAGCCCTTGCCATTATTGATGTCTTGTGTTAGTATGGCACACTGTTAAAGATGTATGCAGGCAGCTGGGTCAGAAGTGTAGCGGCTGAGCCTGAAACTGGTGCCCATATTGGATGCTGGACCACAGTCAGCAGCTTTACTCACTACACCACGATGCCAACCCCAGTGTGATACATTTGATACAAGTTTTTTCATTGATACTAATGAGCTGTCATTCACTGGTTCACTCCCCAAATGCTCCCAATGGGTTGAGAGAGGACCGCAGCCAGGGCTCCCATGTGGGTTCAGGGACCCAATTGCCTGAGTCATCACTGCTGCCTCCTAGGTGAAGGGGAGAAGGATGCTGAAGGGGAACGGGAGCGACGGCCACGGCCCTTTTCTTCAGGACACACTTCTATTTAGGCAGGCTTTCTGCAAGTTGCTCTTGCCACTTTTGATTGTGCCTGGAACCCTCAGACCCTAATTCACATGGCCACGCTGACTTGCAGTGGAAGCTGGGTGATGTAGCTTTAATCTGGATGTGTTACATCTAACCAAAAACACAGACTGGAAATTAGGCAGCAGTTAGGAGTCTGTACCACCACAGTGCTCCAAGATTTTCTCCAGATTCTCCAAGGTGTGCACGATGCAAAATAGCTAAGAGACTCATGGAGCGCTGGCATGATGACGGTTAGGTGAATGTGAGTGCCATCAGTTCACTCCCCTCTCCTGCGGTCGTGCTACGTGTCAGACCTCAGGCTGGTCATAAGCTTGTGCTTGCCTCCCTTCAGGGAGCCACTGTCTGGTGTGGTACATTAGTGCTTCGCAGCATGTCAGGACTGGCATGGCTGCAGAATTACCCAACCTCGGTCTCGGTCTTAAGCAGAGTGGCCATCTCGTGGATCTGGTCCCGTCTTGGCCAGTAGCGGTGATGGACAGACATGTGGGCACCAGGGAAGCCAGATAGCAGAAGCTGTGAGGGCAGGAAAGGATGGCTGAGCTCTGGGCCTGAGGCTGTGTGACTCTTCTCTCCTGGCAGCTTCCCCAGCTGGCAAAGTAACTCTGGACCAAGCCCCAACGAAAGAAAACAGATACGCACGTGTGGTGTGCAAGACATCTGGGTTCTACCCTGAATCCATTACCATAACTTGGGAGAAGTGGACCCAGAAGGCTCCCCAGCACCTACAGATTTCTGAAGGCGTCTTCACTGGCCCTCCGGTCAAGAATGAGGATGGGACGTTTAATGTTACTAGCTACTTGACACTGAAGTCCCCAGTGGAAGCTGATGGGGCCATCTACCAGTGCGTGGTGGGACACGTATCCTTGCACACGTCCCAGCGGTTCAGTCTTCCAGCGATTGAGACAGGTAAGCATCTTTCTGGACATGGCGCTTCCCGCCACCTTGAGGGAGTGTAACTTAAATTGTTGGATGCCTCAAGGATCTTTTCTTGGGATTGACAGGGAAGGAGAGAAAGCTTGGGCTGGAGGGAACAAGCTGGGGTCAGGCCCTGCCCAGCTGAATCAGCAGCCCAGACTAAGTCCCTACACCAGATGTCTGGTCAGTAGAGAGTGGTGATAATAGTTGTCCAGTCGAAACAGGGCTGCTCATCAGCTTATGGCACCTTCAGGGTTAGGTCTGGATGGTCTGTGTGTCTTGGAGTGGGAAGCTGGCCTGATGATGGGGGATGGGGACAGGATCCTGCCCAAATCCCCTGCAGAGAAGGGGCTAGCAGGGGCCAGGAACCAGCCTGCAACATCCCTTCCAGCAGGATCCAGATCTACTATGAACTGTTGGCTGGCAGAGGCCACATTAGTGGTCCTGTCTCAAGGGCTGAGTCCCCAGGATATATGGCCATTGTGGAGGGGTCCTACAGCTGCCTGGGGGTTTACCCAGGCCTAGCAGATCCTTAGGACAACACAACTCAGGACAGAGCCCCTCCTGCTGGCAAGGTGGGAGGTTTTTGACCTCATCCGGGGTGACCTGATCAGGTCTCTAGTGTTGGGTAGGAATGACTCTGCTGGGCAGGTGCATCTTCCGGAGCTAGGAGGGGTAGGGAAGGCAGAGGTCCTGGGGGGATGTTTGTCTAGGTGTACCATATGGGACCTTGCGTGCTCCTAGAGGATAAAGGAATTATTCTTGGAAGTAAGGGTATGTATGGGCGGTGTGTTCTAGATGTGTGCATGCAGGTGTGTGGGAGACAAGTGAATAGGAAATATGCTGTGTGTGTGTGTGTGTTTGTGTGAGGGGTTGGGGAGGTATGTGTGTAAGTGAGAGAAGATGAAGTGGTGGCTACAGAAGCTCTGAAGATGCCTGTGGCCCGTGTCCGTGGTGTGCTGTGCCCGTATTACAGTGCATTTCTGACAAGGGATGAAACAATGATGTGTCACGGTGTATGTGATAGGATTGGTGATGCTGAGGCATGTGGCAGAGGGCAAATGACACAAAGCACACAGGTCCTAGCAGCAGTTGGGTTGTCTTACTGGCTCTTGCAATTCGCTTTCTCTTAACGTTCTTCTCTTCCTCTCAGCAGAATCTGCCATGGATAATGACTTTTGGATTTATGTCTTCTCTATTGCTGTGGCAGTTGTATTTATTGGACTGATTTTCTTCCTTTGGAAAAGGTAAAGTGCTTCCCAGCAAGCAACGTTTAGCTCTGTGTCTTGGAGTTGACACCAGGAGGATCCGGCCAGAGCCACTGAGTGTTGTTAGTGTGTTCTCAGGATAGACGCTGGGGTGTGGTTAGTGTGGGTATGGTTTTCCTCATGTTGTACTGGGGAACAAGTTTCCCATGTGACCTCCGTGTGGTGGTTTGTGACCCTAAGGAGATGCATGGTGAAACCGCCCGCGGTCTCTCTATGCTGTACCAGTCTCCCTGTGAATTGAACCTGACCTTGTTCAGGCCAGGCCTTGGCACTGTGTGTGAGTTGCACTGCTGTTGCTGTTCTTACACATTAGGGGCCCTTGGCTAGGAGAGAGTAATTCCTTCTCCCAGTTGCTCATATTTTGCTAGTGCTGCAATGAACTTACCACAAGATTTCACTGGTTTGACTGGGAATTTGTCACCTTCATTATTTTTCTAAAATATATTTCCATGTGTTGGTTGAAAATGTTCTAGATGATAGAAGTGCCCTCAACAGTGGATAGGCCTGCCAAGGTAAAATCTGTGAAAGAGCTAACCATCTCATTGTAAATGCTTTGTGGGTAGAGGATGGTAGTGTGACACAGCGGGTTAAAGCCCTGGTCTGTGGCGCTAGCATCCCTATTGGCGCTGGTTCGAGTCCTGGCTGCTCTACCTGTGATCCAGCTCTCTGCTGTGGCCTGGCAGTGGAATGTGGCCCAAGTCCTTGGGCCTCTGCACCTGTATGGGAGATCTGGAAGAAGCTCCTGGCTCCTGACTTCAGTTTGGCTCAGCTGTGGCTGTTAGAGCCATTTGGGGAGTGAACCAATGGATGCAAGACCTCTCTCTGTTTCTGGCTCTAACCTCTCCTATAACTCTGTTTCTCAAATAAATAAAATTAATCTTTTCAATGAAATAAATGCCTTAGGGAAATTGGAATAATCACTTCCTAAAGAAAAAAAGCTGATTATCTAATGTCGGTCAGCTGATTCATGAGACTTATTCTGCTGGTTGGAGCTAAGTCACTAAGTAAACTGGATATAAAGTATTTTTCAAATGCTTCTTGTGTCATTTGTGGTTGTTTTCATATTTCTTGTCCTTTCCTGGTTCTGTTACCCAGGAGCTGTCGGAAAACAAATGCATCCAGCAGTGATATTAGTTGAGAAAGAAGAGCTGGGGTTGTGACAAAAGGGGTTAAGGTGCTACTTGCAACACCAGCATCCCATATGAGAATACTGCACTGAGTCCTAGCTGCTCCACTTCCAACGAGCTCCCTGTAATGCTCCTGAGAAAGTAGCAGAAGATCGCCCCTGCACCATGTGGGATGTGGTAGAATGAGAAGGCCATGCCAAGATGGCCGTGAGCAAGCGAGCATCAGTTACTCAGGAATGGCTTCGGAACCCACCTTGAAAAGGAGCCTTCCTGGCAACAGGCAGTGATTGGTTAGGGCATAAACTACTTCTTGACCGGATTGGCTACCTTGGCTATATAAGCTGCTGTACCAACTGAAATAAATGAGTCTGCGGGCTGCTTGCCTCTGGCCTGCTTTCACCCGACTCCCGGTGTCTATGTTGTGACTCCATGCCTCTTGCCCCTACTGTGCTCCTCCTCTCAGAAGGAATCAACAGCAACAATAGGAGCCCCAGAAAAAGCTCATGGCTCTTGGCTTCGGCCTGGCCCATCTTCAGATGGAAGATTCTCTCACTCTTCCTCTCCTTCCCTCCACCCCCAACTCTGCCTTTCACATAGATAAATATTAAAGAACAACTGGATTTTTAAAAACTTTTATTTAATAAATATAAATTTCCAAAGTACAACTTTTGGATTACAGTGGCTTTTTCACCCCATAACTTCCCTCCCACCTGCAACCCTCCCATCTCCCGCTCCCTTTCCCATTCCATTCACCTCAAGATTCATTTTCAATTATCTTTATATACAGAAGATCAATTTAGTATATATTAAGTAAAGATTTCAGCAGTTTGCACCCACACAGAAACACAAAGTGTAAAGTACTGTTTGAGTACTAGTATAGCATTAATTCACATTGAACAACATAATAAGGACAGAGATCCTACATGGGTAGTAAGTGCACAGTGACTCCTGTTGTTGATTAACAATTGACACTCTTGTTTATGGCGTCAGTAATCACCCTAGGCTCTTGTCATGAGTTGCCAAGGCTATGTAAACCTTCTGAGTTCACTAACTCCGATCTTATTTAGACAAGGTCATAGTCAAAGTGGAAGTTCTCTCCTCTTTTCAGAGAAAGGTACCTCCATCTTTCATGGCCCCTTCTTTCCACTGGGATCTCACTCACAGAGATCTTTCATTTAGTTTTTTTTTTTTTTTTTTGCCAGAGCATCTTAGCTTTCCATGCCTAAAATACTCTCATGGGCTCTTCAGCCAGATCTGAATGCCTTAAGGGCTGATTCTGAGGCCAGAGTGCTTTTACAACATCTGCCATTCTATGAGTCTGCTGTGTATCCTTCTTTCCGTATTGGATCGTTCTCTCGTTTTAATTCTATCAGTTAATATTAACAGACACTAGTCTTGTTTATGTGATCCCTTTGACTCTTAATCCTATCATTATGATCAATTGTGAACAGCAATTGATCACTTGGACTAGTGAGATGGCATTGGTACATGCCACCTTGATGGGATTGAATTGAAATCCCCAGCATGTTTCTAGCTCTGCCATCAGGGGTAAGTCCGAATGAGCATGTCCCAAACTGTACATCTCCTCCCTCTCTTATTCCCACTCTTATATTTAACAGGGATCACTTTTCAGTTAAATTTAAATACCTAAGAATAATTGTGTGTTAATTACAGAGTTCAACCAATAGTATTAAGTAGAACAAAAAAAATACTAAAAGGGATAAAGTATTAAGTTGTTCATCAACAGTCAGGACTAGGGCTTATCAAGTCAATGTTTCTCATAGTGTCCATTTCACTTCAACAGGTTTCCTTTTTTGGTACTCGGTTGGTTGTCACCAATCAGGGAGAACATGTGATATTTGTCCCTTTGGGACTGCTTTATTTCACTCAGCATAATGTTTTCCAGATTCCTCCATCTTGTTGCAAATGACTGGATTTTGTTGTTTTTTACTACTGTATAGTATTGTATAGAGTCCATATCCCATAATTTCTTTATCCAGGGTAATGTTGATGGGCATTTAGGTTGATTCTAGGTCCTAGCTATTGTGAATTGAGCTGCAATAAACATTAAGGTGCAGACAGCTTTTTTATTTGCCAATTTAATTTCCTTTGGGTAAATTCCAAGGAGTGGGATGACTGGGTTTTATGATAGGGTTACATTCAGGTTTCTGAGGAATTTCCAAACTGTCTTCCATAGTGGGTTTACCAGTTTGCATTCCCACCAACAGTGGGTTAGTGTCCCTTTTTCCCCACATCCTCACCAGCATCTGTTGTTGGTAGATTTCTGAATGTGAGCCATTCTAACCGCGGTGAGGTGAAACCTCATTGTGGTTTTGATTTGCATTTCCCTGATTGCTAGTGATCCTGAACATTTTTTCATGTGCCTGTTGGCCATTTGGATTTCCTCTTTTGGAAAATGTCTATTGAGGTCCTTGGCCCATCTCTTAAGTGGGTTGTTTGTTTTGTTGTTGTGGAGTTTCTTGATCTCTTTGTAGATTCTGGTTATTAACCCTTTATCTGTTGCATAGTTTGCAAATATTTTTTCCCATTCTGTCGGTTGTCTCTTCACTCTCCTGACTGTTTCTTTTGCAGTACAGAAACTTCTCAATTTGATGCAACCCCAATTGTTAATTTTGGCTTTGACTGCCTGTGCCTCGGGGGTCTTCTCCAAGAAGTCTTTGCCTGTGCCTATATCTTGCAGTGTTTCCCCAATGAAGAACAACTGGAATTGATCAGATGAAATAAGGAATAAAGTTAGGCAGAGCTGAACTCAAAGTTTGGTTTGCCAAATTGGTAGAAATTACATATAACTGTACTTTTTTATGATATTACGACTGTTTTAAAATCTCTATAGTGAAACTGAACACTTGTTCATTTGATTGTTATTTATAGCCCTAGCCTATTTTCTTCTGAAAATCTACTTAACTATTTAGTAGAACCCTTAAGACTTTGACTATAATGTAAGTGCAAATATGTTGTCTCGAGAAAGTCACAGGGATTTTGCTTCCCTTGGAGCCCCCTCCATGCCACTCTGGCTGGAGGTCTCTCACTCTAATAAATCTTGCTTTTCTCTTTGCCTTTCTGTTTGGAAATTCTTCGATGTGAGACAAAGAACCAAGGTAATAATATTTTTGCTGCCGCCATCTCACCCCTACATTTTGGTGCTGTGACTTGGATAGCAACTCTAACATGAGATGGATCCCACTCAAGTTCAACTCCAACCAGTGTCAGGGTCATCCCCCCAGACTAGTGAGCATGTGGACAGCTCTTGCTTTTGTTGGTGTATTTCACTCTCCTCCATAGAAACTCTCATTTTCTCAAAAACCAGGTCCCGATCAGCCATTTAAAAGCGATTAGCATGGCTGCCGTACTGAAGACTCATGGCTCAGGCTTGCTGATTAAGGCCAGAGCAACCCCCTGGACTCGGCTAGGGCCTGAGTTCTTGGGAGGCCCTGGCTGTCTGACACCTCTGGGAGGTGGGATAAGGCCTGTTCTACGGGACTGGATGGGTCTCAGGAGAGGGAAAAGGTCCTCTTTCCACCAGGTCTACGACAAATCTTGGGCCCCTGCTTGTCAATTCCTCTGCCCCAGGATGCCTCAGTGGGCAGGACCATCCTGCCCAAACCTCAGATTCTTAGACCTTGCTGGAGCCCAGAGGGGCATTGGGTCTCCAGTAGTTGGGCAGGTGTCCTGGCAGACCAAGAAGCACACGCCACTCTGTGCAACCTCTCTTGCCCACTCTGGCCACTCTATTCTAACCCCTCTCTTCTCTGGTGTAGATTGGCCCCTTGTGAGGGACTGGGAGAAGGCCTCGAGACAACTGACAGATTCTGGCTGGGGCTACACTCCAGTGCTTCCAGAAGGTCTCTTGCAGGCACAGGCCCCGACAGCTGGAATGGTGTTGGGCTGGGAAATGCACTTTGCTGCAGGGAGCAAGTCCCCTGCTCTTCTAGAGTCCTCACAAGCTGCAGAGCCCAAGGCTCCACTCTTCCTACTTCTCATCTCAGCTCTGGGAATGTTGATGTGGTCCAACTCAGCTTCCTTTCACGGGATCGGCCTGGCGGCCATTAGGGTGTTGGCCGAAAACGTAATTCTGTCCTTCCCTTCTTGGAGGCTAATTCGTCAGTGATACTGGGCACAGCTTGGAGCGAGGCTGTGGGCTCTGTGCTCCATGCCTCAGTGAGTTTTTCCTTTACCCCAGATCCCGGCAAGATCTCCACCTCTCTGCTCCTCTAAATGCTTTCTGCACGCTGCCAGGTTACCTGAGTCTTACAAACTCGAATTCTTGGTCCCATTAGTAGGCATTTTGTAGGTATTTTGTTCATTAGCTCTGGGTTAAAGTTCAATGATCCTTTTTGCAGGCCAGTAGCTTTTCAATCTAGAGTCCCATTAGATGCAGCTCCCCACATGATCAGAGCTTGTGCAAATAAGTCTCAGCATGTCTCTGGTATTCCCTACCTTCCTATGTAGCTCATACCTCAGAGGAGGTTTACTGGGAGAATTTTTATTCCCCCACTCTGCTTCTTTATCCCTTCACCCACCTAGTCACCAACCTAGGTGGTAACCAGAACTGGTAACGTCTCTCCACACTCTAGCTTGAAGCACCTTTGTTTGCTAAGGCTCTTGCCATGAAGGCTCGTTGTCAAAATCTGGCCTGATAGAGAAGACTCAAGGTTAAGAGGCATAGAACAACTATTTTTCTTCATGTAGGAGAACAAAGCAATAATATATATTTGACCAGTCAGTGGCTCAATCTAGCACACCATGAGTAAAAGGAGCTGATCACTCCCTGCATGTTTTACTATATACCTGAGGTTACAGGAGTGACAGGCTGAGGGAGCATGGGTAACACGTACTAATCCCATCCTCACCCTCTCCCCTTCCCTGTGGGCTTCAGGCCACTTCTGGAAGCCACAGGCTTTGGGAAAGTTCTGAGAGACATTGTGGAATGAGAATGCCGTGTGAAGATGCCTGCTGGCAAGCGAGCGTCAGTTACTCAGGAATGGCTTCGGAACCCACCTGGCCAAGGAGCCTGCCTGAAAACAGACTGTGATTGGTTAAGGAATAAACTGCCGCTTGACCAGATTGGCTGCCTCGCCTATATAAGCTGCTGTACCAACTGAAATAAATGAGTCTGGGAGCTCATCGCCTCTAGTCTGCTTTCACCCGACTCCCAGTGTCTGAGTCATGACTCCGCTTCTCTTGCCTCCACCATGCTCTTCCTCTTAGAACGAATCCACAGCAACAAGGCATCTCAAACTCAGGAGAGGTAAGAGCTGGTGAGGCATCTATTTTTATACTGTCATTGCAGGAGGCATAGGCATTCTGTGGGGATGCATCCTTAGACTTTGGGACTCTTTTTACCCCTGAGCTTAAAGAAAAATGCCTCATCCTTTTCCACAGCACCATCTGGCCTGCTTACAAGCTAGAGGATGGAGAAGTTAGCCTAAATGAGTTGTGAAAAGTGCCAGCCCCTCTACTCTGACTGCCTGACTCAGAAAGACCTCTGCTCCCTAACTGGCTCCTTGCCTCTATTTCCCTGCATGTGCTCCAGTATGCATTAAACAATTTTCCAGACTGTCACAGGTCCTTAGGTCTATTTTGAGCTAAAAGTTCCTTCTGTTATCACTTTTGACCTCTGTTGAGGCTTTTAATCCCAGTGAAGGAGAGTTTTTGGCCAGTGACCATTACCCACTGTTGTAATTTAGTCTGGGTGGGGGGTGTGATGATTTCTAGGCATGAATCTGGGCCCTAAAACCTCATATGCTATTGAATATATATGGATCAATCCATATGATGAACTCTTGGACTTCTTGAGATAGCTCTAATGTGACTCCTCATCCCTGGGGCTGGTTTGACTGACAGCCCGATCAGACACTTCCAGGATTGGCTTTTGGTTTTGGGGTATAATGTTATTGTCTCTTTGCAAGGCCTCCAGTTTTTCTCCCTCTACCCTGCCTCTTCATGGGCTCTCACGAGTCTCCTTGTAGGTCATTGCCCTTTATTCTGCCTCCTTAGGAATCTCTGGAGGGGTGTTCAGCTGCTCTGATGGGTGTCCTCTCCCCTTAAACCTAACTTAATGTGAACAATGTCCAGTGGGAAACTAGACTCAAATTCAATTAAAACCTAAAAAGATGTCTTTGGTAAATAACAATCTCATGCCTGAGAATTTTAGTTCAGCTGCAACTGGACATTAGGTATAAAGGAATTTATCTTTTTCGAGTCTAGGAAGATCACTGCCTTTAAAAAATATTGCTTTGTAACTTGACAAACTTGTTTTCCAACTTGACTTAACAGATCCAGCTGCAATAGCAATAGATGATCAGTTCTTGTCAGCCCCTAAAGTGGATTTTGCAGTCTCTGTTTTATGTCACTGATTTCTTTTTTTTTTTTTTTAATTATTTGACAGATAGTTAGACAGTGAGAGAGAGAGACAGAGAAAGGTCTTCCTTCTGTTGGTTCACCCCGCCTCCCCAGTGGCCACTACAGCTGGAGCTACGCTGATCTTAAGCCAGGAGCCAGGTGCTTCCTCCTGGTCTCCCACACGGTTGCAGGTACCCAACCACTAGGACCAACCTCCACTGCCTTCCCAGGCCACGGCAGAGCTGGACTGGAATAGGAGCAGTCGGCACTAGATCTGGCTGCCCATAAAGGATGCCGGTGCCGCAGGTGGAGGATTAACCAAGTGAGCCACGGCGCTGGCCCCTATGTCACTGATTTCTAACTAGAGTTTTAGAAAAAGGAGTAATATTCCATATAAATGTAATTTTGACCTTAATTCAGATAGAGTTATGATATAATATCAGTGTCTTAAGTCAGCTAGGTGTAATTGCTAATTGTCAATTGGGTACAGGTAAATGAGATAAAAGTGTCTAAATGTAAACTTTGGTACTCTTAGCACCTTATATTCTATGGAACAGCTATTTGGGGTTTTAAATATGTTTTCATAAGCTATCTACGAAAATAGTTCAATACCACTTGAAAGTAACTAAGGTGGGGCCAACACTGTGGCATGGTGGGTAAAGCTGCTGCCTGCAGTGCCGGCATCCCATATGGCCACAGGTTCAAATCCTGGCTGCTCCACTTGCAATCCAGCTCTCTGCTATGGCTAAATTCTGGACCCCTGCCCCCATGTGGGAGACCTGGAAGAAGCTCCTAGCTTCTGGCTTCAGATCAGCCCAGCTCCGGCTGTTGTGGTCACTGTGGAGTGAACCAGCGGGTAGAAGATATTCTCTCTCTCTCTCTCTCTCTCTGCCTCTGCCTCTCAGTAACTCTGCCTTTCAAATAAATAAATCTCTTTTTAAAAAGCAACTAAAAGCTCCTTTGGCCTCCGTACTTCTCTGAGGCCAGCAGCCGCCCGACTAGGGGCCCGGGGCCGCGGGCTCTGCCGACGACCATGGGCTCCGTGTCCAACCAGCAGTTTACGGGTGGCTGCACCAAGGCGGTGGAGAAGGCGCCCGAGGAGGCACCGGAGGATGCGGCCCGGGCGGCGGACGAGCTGCAGCTGCTGCACCGGGCCGGCATCTGTAAGTGATTCAAGGTGAGCATGGGGTTCAGCTTCCTGTACATGACCACCCGCGCTGGGGCGGTGCTCGACCCCCCCCACCCCCCGCCGCCGCCCCGTGGATGTCTTTGTGCACCAGAGTAAGCTGCACATGGAGGCCTTCCGGAGCCTGAAGGAGGGTGAAGCAGTGGAATTCACCTTCAAGAAGTCCGCCAAGGACCTGGAATCCATCCGTGTCACAGGGCCTGGTGGGTGTTCTGTGGTGGCAGCGAGAGGCGGCCACAGAGGCAGAGCATGCAAAAGCACGGATCTAAAGGAGACAGGTGCTACAACTGTGGAGGTCTAGACCATCATGCCTAGGAGTGCAGGCTGCCACCCCAACCCAAGAAGTGCCACTTCTGCCAGAGCATCAGCCATATGGTGGCCTCGTGCCCCCTGAAGGCCCAGCAGGCCCCCGGCTCCCAGGGAAAGCCAGCCTACTTCCGGGAGGATGAGGGGGAGATCCACAGCCCTGCCATGCTCCCCGAGGCCCAGAATTGAGCCACAGGGGGTGGGGGCTAGTTTTTTGGCTATCAAGAAGTTTCAAGGGGCAGGCATCAACTGCAGAGTAAAGAAAGTGGGGACAGGGTGGGTTGGGAAGAGCTGGCATTGCCATGTATCCCAGGCTGGGGTTCACAGCGTCACCTCTTTTCCCCTCTTGCCGGGAGGAAGGAGTGAGGCAGGGAATTCCAACCATGCTGTATCCAAATGCAATTAAGGGTTTTGGGGGGTATTACCCTGTAACCTGCATGCTTTACCTGAGGCCCCGTGTGCCAAATCTCTTGCTTTGGAAAGTCGTGTGGATGGGGGAAGTTTTCCTTTGAAGGAAGGATATGGAATAATACTTCCCTAGCCAGGGTGAGAAACTTGGTTGTGGGACCAGATTCCTGGACCCAACCCCCAAACCACTATGTCCTGTGGGAGGGACTCTCGGGAGTAAGGCAGGGTTTTCCACATCTTGTTTCCTCATAACTCAATCCTGGGACAGGGTGCTAGGAAGTGTCCCAAGCAATGTGTTGTGACGATCGGCAAAAAGGGTGGCTAGGGGAACAGTCACAGACCCGCTGCTCCTGAGCTCACTCCTGACCCCATTCTGGGCCAATGTGATTTATTTATTTGCTCCCTTGGATAACTGCACCTGGGGTCCCACTTTCTCCAGGATGCCAACTGCACTAACTATGTGCAAACGACGTATCTTGTGCATTTGAACTTCTTGTTTTTTTTTTTTTTTTAATATAAACAGTCTGGGTTTGTATTTTTGTATATTTTAATCAAAGGCCCTCATTCCTGCACTGTGTTCTCAGGTCCATGAGCAATCTCAGGGATAAGGTCTGCACAGCTGGAAGGCTTTTTGTTGTTTTTTATCACCATGGAGAGCAACCATCAACCAATTGTTTTGCAATCAATTAATGATAATTAAAAAAAAAACAGCTAAGGACTTTAAGAAGCTATTACTGATGTTATACATATGTACATGTTTTATGTCGACATGGGAAAATTTATTGAAAGCTTTCTTTTAATTGGCCTATAGATAAAAGATTGCTCATAAATTTTAACTGCTAAACTAACATGAAACCTTGGACAGAAGCAGTTTCTGCAAGCTGGCACTGCTTCCCCGACCTGTGGCTGGAACCCTGTCTTGACTGTGACTCTGCCCTATTAGCTTGAAGATGCCAGAGAAGTCATCGCCCAGTTCGACTAACAGAAGTTAGGGTCGATTCCTCTGGGGGAGGGGAGGTGGGAAGCCAGACAGGGTAGTGGGCAGTCAGGGTGGTCCCAGCGCAGGTTTATGGTGCAAAATGCTTGTTTTCCTCAGAAGTTATCTTTTGCAAAGTCAAAAGTACTTACCTGGAGCCAGCGCTGTGGTGTAGCCGGTAAAGCCGCTGCCTGTAGTGCTGCATCCCATATGGGTGCCGGTTCTAGTCCCAGCTGCCCCACTTCTGATCCAGCTCTCTGCTGTGGCCTGGGGAAGCAGTAGAAGATGGCCAAAGTCCTTGGCCCCTGCCCCATGTGGGAAGCATGGAAGAAGCTCGTGGCTCTTGGCTTCAGATTGGTGCTGCTCGAGCCATTGTGGCCAGTTGGGGAATGAACCAGTGGATGGAAGACCTCTCTCTCTGTAACTCTGACTTCCAAATAAATAAATTAATAAATCTTTTTTATAAAAAAGTATCTGAAGGTTTTGCTTTAAACCATGTGAGGCCAGTGAATACCCAGAGCCACGGTTTCTTTCTTCTAAGCAGGTTCGGGTGGCCTTGGGACCCTGCACCGGTGTGAGAGACCTGCAAGAAGCTCCTGGCTTTTGGCTTCCTATAAGCTCAGCTCTGGCTTTTGTGGTCATTTGGGGAGTGAACCAGAGGAATGGAAAAGCTCTCTCTATGGCTCTACCTCTGTATGTAATTCTGTCTTTCAAATAAATAAAATGAATCTAAAAAAAAAAAAAAAGAATAAAGAAATCACCTGGGCCTTATGCCGGCTTAATAAAAGACTGCTTCGTGGTAAGAGGCCTTGGTGTGTTGTCTCGGTGCAGGCATCCTGCTACATGCGTACCAAGTTATGTGGCCTGTAACTGAAGGAACAGCATTTTGGCTGGAATATGTGGGTGTGTATTTAAATGCTTGTGCCTAGAATAGGTCTGTATAGAAGACCATCAGTGTCTTCTGGAAACAAAATTGCACCTGCAATTAAACTATGAAAAAACATTTCCATCACTGCTCTTCCTTTAAATGAAGGCAGCTGGGGCCAGCCTGTGGTGCAGCGAGTTAAAGCCCTGGCCTGAAGTGTAGGCATCTCTTATGGGAGCCAGTTCTAGTCCCAGCTGCTCTTCTTCTGATCCAGCTGTGCGCTGTGGCCTAGGGAAACAGCAGAAGATGTCCCAACCCTGCACCCATGTAGGAGAGCCGGAAGAAGCTCCTGGCTCCTGGCTTCAGATGGGCTCAGCTCTGGCCATTGTGGCCATCTGGGGAGTGAACCAGCGGATGGAAGACCTCGCTCTGTGTCTCTACCTCTCTCTGTAACTCTTTCAAATAAAAATAAAATAAGTCTTTAAAAAAAATAAATGAAGGAAGCTAGTGTTTTAGGAACCCTTTAATGTGGAGGATACACATCTTAATTTAAACTGTGGATTTTAAAGATGTAAGAAGGGTTATTACAAAGTTGGGGGTAGGAAAATGATTTCTCGTTAGGGCCCTATACAGGGCGTAGATTTAAAAGCATCAACTGATC